TGGTCAAGTAAAACAAATCAATGATCATTTGATTCAAACAACTTTGCGGTTAAGTCTAATCTTTAGTGAAATGAGGATTTATCCATTTTTGTGTGGCTGAGTATTTTGGCATAGACACTTGCACATTGTTGTGTGTGAACATTCCGAATGTGCATGTTTCTGAGCAGTGTTGATGTTTACAATAAACTTTATTTCTGCACAAAGCAGTTTGAAATGTGAAAAAGTGTTACGACTGCATGATTTTTCACAGCTGCTGCTTCTTTTTTTATTTTTTGCTCATTGCATTTCTGATTTTAATGTGACATCCAAGCTGACTAGCCTGCTACAATCAGTCTGTGAAAATACTGACTTGCATATAGTGGGGCAAGAGTCAAAAGTGCTGACTGATGAGTACGTGTTAGGATCCATACCTTTGGGTACAGGCTGGGTTTGAGGTCTTTTTTGGTAAAGGTAGTCGGGGATGCTGTATGTTGGTCCCAGCTTTATGTATTAAAAACACAAAAGCAGCTCATTGGTTCTGTCCCACCTTTTATCAGTGTTTTCCACTTTGACTTTAAATTCTTCTTTTACTCTGAGGAAGTTACAGCTGAGAATGACAAACAAAACAGATGAAGAAAGACGGCAGCCAAACTGAAACCCACACAGACAAAACATGAAAGGCAACACAAAACGCACGTGAAAAACAGACTCAAGCACAATCAAACAGTTAACTATGCATTATTCAAAACCATATAAGAAAACGATGACTAAAATGAATTGCATCACAAATCAAAAGTGCATAGATTGAATTGACATGACAGTCTCTGACTTGAGGATAGACAGGAAACTAAATATTGACGAATACAGTAAACCCAAAGGAAGACTGGGCTAAACCCAAATCTAAAAGGCCCAGAACCCATGACCCCACATAATGGGTTAGGATGTGGAGATGCTGAATAACACGTCACTTAATAGAGATGAACCATAAACAGCGTGGCAGGCCACCAGAGATGGGATCTTTAGAGGGTGACGCAATGTGATAAAACATGTCCTCAGACTCCCAGAGTTCAGTCTGTCAGAACTGCAGATGCTAACACACAAAGTTTACCAGCTATGTGTCGGAGTCAGGTAATGAAAAGAGACTGTGATGCATTCAGGTGCAACAGCATAGTTTTGTAAACTTAAAATCAATCTGCTTGACAAAGTATATCTGATTATTTTTATGGATGTTTATAATTTTAGTTTGGTAACTCTGTCTGGGTATGTGGAAATTAACACGTTTAGGTATCTGTATTTCTCTTTTATGTTTGCAGTGTATATTTTGATAATATGTAGCAGTTCTACTATCTTATATATAACCTGGGTCCACAAAGACCTCCATGAACCCATGTATATCTTCATAGCAGCTTTGTTATTTAACAGCACTCTTTACAGCACTGTTGTTTATCCAAAGCTCCTGATTGACTTTTTATCTAAGAAACAGGTC